TGATTGACACAACACACATTCTTATACACCTTACACATGAGGAGGATTACAGCAGGCTTTTTCTTAAACCTTCATGGTATATTGATGGTTGTCCGATGAGAGTCCTTAAGTGGACATGTGACTTTACACCTGAGCAAGAGACTCCGATAGTTCCCGTATGGGTATCGTTCCCTCTGCTTCCAGTACATTTACGTGCGAAGGGGTTCCTTTTCGCCTTATCTGGGGCAATAGGAATGCCCTTGAGAATTGATGAGGCCATCACCGACTTGAGACGACCTAGTGAGGCAAGGGTGTGCATTGAGGTGAATTTGGAGCATAAGTTGCCCAACAGGGTTTGGATTGAGCGTGCTGGTAACCGTGGCTTCTGGTAGACAGTTATCTATGAGAAGCGGCCAATTTTTTGCTTTTCTTGTAAACACTTGGGTCATTCTTATGATCAGTGTACTACAGTTCCTCCTCCTCCTCCTCCTATAGTTGTTGTGCACCCCCCTGTTCGGCCCCCTATTACTAGGACTGATAAGGATAAGGGCAAGGTGACGTTTGTGGAGCCAAAGAAGCAGTGGGTTCCAGTTTCAGCAGTGCCTTCTGTGCTTCCCACTACTACTACCGCAGTTGTGACAGAGTCAGAATCTGCATCAACAGTTCCTACCTCTACTCGTATCACAGTTGATCCAGAGGTACCTCCGTATATTCATTCAGCTGCTGAGCCTACTCCAAATGCTCCTATCGAGGTACCCACTTCTCCTATTATTACTTCCATAGCTCCTATTCCCACAGCTACTATGATCCAGAAATGTTTCAAACCAGACGCATGACTCGATCAATGTCTATGTACTACCCCCCGAAGATTTACCCTCGGGAATACCCTTGAGTACCTATCATTAGTTTTTGTTCGTGTCTTGTTTACTGTGATTGCATTTTATCTTCAAATATTTGTTACAATTTACATTTTCTGGAGGTCAGGTCCATGCCCCCCTCCTCTATTTGTTTTCCCGCTTTTCATTATATAAAATAAACCACACTAGTGGTATTTGCGTTAAAAAAAAAAAAAAAAAAACCCTAAACCCTAAACCCTAAACCCTAAACCAAAAACCCTCCCATCTCTAATCAATGGCTTCATATAATTTTGGTCATTTCATTATATTCTTTGTGACCATTTCGTCTCTGTTCATTCCTAATGACTGCAACGACAGGATGCTGCTTGAAAACCTTAAAAGCAGTGAAGTGTATGATGAAAAAATAAATCTAAAACTATGCAAAAAGTTTAACTGCAAAGGATATATAGAGTGTTGGTGTTGCATATTCAATGCGCAATACTGTTATATCAATGAAGCAGAATGTGAAGCAACAGAGTGTGGAGGTGTTTCTTCTCTCCCATGATAGCTTTACCCCTAAACCCTAAACCCTAAACCCTAAACCCTAAACCCTAAACCCTAAACCCTAAACCCTAAACCCTAAACCCTAAACCCTAAACCCTAAACCCTAAACCCTAAACCCTAAACCCTAAACCCTAAACCCTAAACCCTAAACCCTAAACCCTAAACCCTAAACCCTAAACCCTAAACCCTAAACCCTAAACCCTAAACCCTAAACCCTAAACCCTAAACCCTAAACCCTAAACCCTAACCCCTAACCCCTAACCCCTAAACCCTAAACCCTAAACCCTAAACCCGAAACCCGAAACCCGAAACCCGAAACCCTAAACCTAAACCCTAAACCCTAAACCCTAAACCCGAAACCCTAAACCCGAAACCCCAAACCCCAAACCCCAAACCCTAAACCCTAAAACCCCAAACCCTAAACCCTAAACCATTCTCAACCTCCAAAACGCTCTCCCTTCTCTCTAGAATGGGAGAAAACCTCCAAAACTCAACCAAACTTGATCCACCACCAAAACCACCGGATTGCAGCACTCTAAGTGGTGGAAAATCATCACCAACAACCACCCAAAGATCTCCTATAACACCAATATCAGATTCATCCCCCAACTCAATAGATCTGAGTTTGAAAAATCATGGCACGAATCCCAAGGTCATCGAAACACCCAATTCTGATCAGAATTTGGATATGGGACCATCACCAATGATTCCAGAAGGGCCGAAAACCCTGGGGGTGGTAGAGATTTCGTCCAACTCGCCCGAAATTGACAGATCGAATCCCGAGGGGCCGAAAACTGATTTTTCAATTAACCCTTCCACAGAGCTCAAACAGGGACACGCGCCTGACCATCAGATTACCCATGAAAAGGCGAACCTTCGAATAAACAAACATCCAATTCCGACGTCGGACGCGCCCTTACCGGCGATCGTAAGTTCCGGCCAGTCACTCGAAAAATCGCAGATTTCGACCAATCCTGAACTCATTTCGGAAAACGGAACATACCGTGATGATCAGCATGAAATTCCGCATCTGCCTAGGAAAAATCATAATTTTCTGACACCATTGGAAAATCGCCGCTGGTCAACGGCCGGCGCGTGGTGGTCACGCGCCGGTGACACTTCACCAGAATGTGGGGAATTTTGTTACGAACCCAATTTCATCATCGGTTTTTCCACATGAGGCCCAGACAGTGCTCAATCAGGACCGAAAGACCTATGCTACTGCAGTTTCTGGCCGTCCGGGCCTGTCTCAAGCTGAACGGAGTTCATGAAAGTCGTTTGCATCGGTTATACAGGGTATAGATGACTCTTCCACTGCTGGGTTTGCTGCTAAAGAACCCTTTATACATATGGGTGAGCCGGCAATAGTTTTGACTGAGTCCGAGGAGGCTACACTCGCTGATCCTTACAAGTATACACTTGTGGGGAAATTTCCACATCGCAAGCCAACCATGAGGAAGGTACGTGAGATTTTTTCTAAGTTTGGGTTCCATGGTTGTTTCGAGGTGGGATTGATTGACACAACACACATTCTTATACACCTTACACATGAGGAGGATTACAGCAGGTTTTTTCTTAAACCTTCATGGTATATTGACGGTTGTCCAATGAGAGTCCTTAAGTGGACATGTGACTTTACACCTGAGCAAGAGACTCCGATAGTTCCCGTATGGGTATCGTTCCCTCTACTTCCAGTACATTTACGTGCGAAGGAGTTCCTTTTCGCCTTATCTGGGGCAATAGGAATGCCCTAGAGAATTGATGAGGCCACCACCGACTTGAGACGACCTAGTGAGGCAAGGGTGTGCATTGAGGTGAATTTGGAGCATAAGTTGCCCGACAGGGTTTGGATTGAGCGCGCTGGTAATCGTGGCTTCTGGCAGACAGTTATCTATGAGAAGCGGCCAATTTTTTGCTTTTCTTGTAAACACTTGGGTCATTCTTATGATCAGTGTACTACGGTTCCTCCTCCTCCTCCTGCAGTTGTTGCGCACCCCCCTGTTCGGCCCCCTATTACTAGGACTGATAAGGATAAGGGCAAGGTGACGTTTGTGGAGCCAAAGAAGCAGTGGGTTCCAGTTTCAGCAGTGCCTTCTGTGCTTCCCACTACTATTACCGCAGTTGTGACAGAGTCAGAATCTGCATCAACAGTTCCTACCTCTACTCGTATCACAGTTGATCCAGAGGTACCTCCGTATATTCATTCAGTTGCTGAGCCTACTCCAAATGCTCCTATCGAGGTACCCACTTCTCCTATTATTACTTCCATAGCTCCTATTCCCACAGCTACTACTGATGTACCCCCTGAGTCGACACATATGAGTTCTCCACCATTAAAGACACACACAGATGGTACTCAGTCAGCGCAGGGATCAGGTACCGGGACAGTTCCTCAAACCACTCTTGCACAGGGGTTGTTGGCTGAGATCAGCTCAGAGCGACATGGTGTCAAGCATATGTTGATTGATCACTTTAAGAAGGACCATGGAATGAAAGTTGGATCTACCATGAGATTTGCTATTGAAGACTTGGTTTTTAAGCTCTTTGGAGAGGGACCTTCTGTAAGTAAGACTCCTACGCATACACCTTCACCTGGTCCTTCTATCACAGCTCCTACACACAATAAGGTGAAAGAACATATACAGAGAGATATGGATGGCATGGGCCTTGGAAACTGCATGCAAAATGCAGAGGACGATGTCCCTACAGCAAGCAAGTCAATCTCCCACGATTTAGATTTCGTAGCACAGAACACCATGAGATTAGACACACCTACGACTAGTACAATGAGATCAGATGCACCCGCTTTTCGCCCGACATTCAGTGCACCACCATCCGAACAGTACTTATCACCAAAGCAGGCTCCTACACGGAGGCGAGACCCCTCTCCAACGAGCGAGCCAGACATCGCAGACTACTATGATCCGGAAATGTTTCAAACCAGACGCATGACCCGATCAATGTCTATGTACTACCACCCGAAGATTTACCCTCGGGAATACCCTTAAGTACCTTTCATTTGTTTTTGTTCGTGTCTTGTTTACTGTGATTGCATTTTATCTTCAGATATCTGTTACAATTTACATTCGCTGGAGGTCAGGTCCATGCCCCCCTCCTCTCTTTGTTTTCCCGCTTTTCATTATATAAAATAAACCACACTAGTGGCATTGCTTAAAAAAAAAAAAACCCTAAACCATTCTCAACCCTTACATTTTCTCTCTAGAGATAGGTGATTTTTGGAGATTTCTAGTCGCCCAAAATGGAACCCCATCCGACTGCATTCCGGCCACCATGGCCACCGGATCCGACCACCAATAGAACCACCTCACTCTCCTCTATAACCTACACCCAACCGCCGGTAATAAACTCGCCGGAATCTGATGAAAATCGAACCCAAAACCCAAATCTGCCGCAATGTTTCTCTGTCGAAAATCACTGTTCCGGTGATACCCATGCTGGCGCACCACTACCGGTTGATAGATCTCTTCCAGACGATCACAACCATGGTCGCCGTTCATCATTTGGAGCTCCCAATCGGCCGAAATTGCATCAGAAAGTTCCGCCTGCGCTGCCTGCCGAATTTCAATTTTCCGACGCCTCCGGTGGGACCCACGGTCGCGGACCACCGCCGGTCGGTAGCCCTCCTCCAGACGATCACAACCATGGTCCCCACTCACCATTTGGAGCCCACAATCGACCGAAATTTCATCTGAAAGTCCCGCCTGCGCTGCCTGTCGAATCGCTGCCTCCCCTTCAATTTTCCGGCGCCACCAATGGGACCCACAGTGGCAGACCACCCAATTTCTACTCCTCTCATCATGGGCAACATCCACATCATATGGGTCTTCATCAATTTTACCCCAATCTCGCAAATCGAACGGATTCAATCCATCAAGGTCAAAAGTCCGATTCTCTCTTAATTGACCCCACAAATGTGTTCGATTCTATAATTAAACGTGGGGTAAATGAAATTCAAGCCCCAAATACTCTGGGTAATGTTCCAATTGCTGAGATTACATCATTAGTTTGCCGAATCTTGGAATCAAACGGTGTTCTTCACACCTCTAGCGCTGCTGGTCAGATTTCTTCCATTTCTGAGCATTATTTGAGAAAATTGACACCTCCAATGAACTCAGAAGGTCCAAAAACATCAGAAGGGACTATCAATTCGACCAAAAATATTACATTGGATTTCGTGCCAAAATGCACACAAACCGAGGCAGTTGGTACTGCTATTTCTGGGCAGAATTCTGCATTTTTGACACTGCCATCATCTCCAGAGCATATGAAAACCTTTGGAGAGACCATTGCTCCGGTTGAAAATGACAGGAAATCTGCATTGGGAAACGTGCCATGTGGCACACATATCGAGGCAAATCCTTCTAATGTTTTTGGACCTCCTTTGATCCCAGGAACTGCACCACTAGCTCCAAATCATGGAAAAACTCCAAGGATCAACACATTACCACCTAGCATATCCCAAACTGCGCGTACCATCAACGCGCGAGTCCCTCCTGCACGCAAGCAACCCCCACCACCACGTGCAACACCACGAGCCACTGCAACTTCCACAACTGCTCATTCTGGTCCAAAATCTTATGCTGCAGCAGTTGGTAATGTGCCAGTAGTTTCTCAAGCAGAGAGGAGTCAAAAGAAGTCCTTTGCTCAAATTCTTCGAGCATCACAAGAATCTACTGACCACAAGCTCATTTCTAGGGACCCTTTCATCCATCATGGTGAACCTGCAGTTCTATTCACAGAGGCAGATGAAGAAGTCTTGGCTGAGCCATACAAGTTTACTCTTGTTGGCAAATTTGTGCACCGGAGGCCATCTATGCTTAAGGTACATGAAAACTTTTCTCGCTTTGGTTTTTGTGGTGATTATACTATTGGTCTAATTGATGCCACACACATTTTGATTCACTTGGCACACGAGGATGACTATGCACGGTTATTCCTCAAACCACTGTGGTATATTGATGGTTCCCCTATGAGAGTCTTCAAATGGACTCCAAGCTTTAGTCCACTGCAAGAGACCCCAATTGCTCCAGTCTGGGTATCCTTTCCACTTCTACCTATTCACTTTCGGGCTAAGAGCAGTTTGTATGCTATTGCTAAAGCTATTGGCCTTCCGTTACGTATTGATGAGGCAACATCTGATCTTCGCCGCCCTAGTGAGGCTAGAGTATGTGTGGAGGTTAATTTGGACTACGATCTCCCTGACAGAGTTTGGATTGAGAGGGAAAAGATCGGTGGCTATTGGCAACAGGTTATATATGACCAGAAGCCAGAATTTTGTTACAAATGCAGACATTTTGGGCACTTAGAAGTTCAGTGTAAACTTGGCATAAGACCAGCACCACCTCCTGTTGTTGAGCCTATCCCTAAACCTATTATCCCTGCTAAGGATAAGGACAAGGGAAAGGCAATTCAGGATGAGCCACATCAGAGGTGGACCCCAGTTCGTAGAGAGCAGAAGAGACAGCAGGCTAGCACATCAGGTGCACATGTTTCCCAAGCAGATCAACCTATTGTAGCCCAGTCAATTGCATCCATAGTAGACACTGCTTCAGTTAATCCTCCAAGAGTGCAGTCAGTAGCTCCAGACAATATTGCTCCTTTGAGTGCCATTACACCAGCCTTGGCTCCATCACAGCCTGTTATTCATGTTGACAGTGATTACACTGACCCCTTGGCTCACGACATGTCTCGGCGAACACGATTCAGAGGGGCTACAGATAGAGTTATCAGACAGCTTCCCGGTCCTACACCTGGCCGTACTGGTAATCCTGCCTCCAGCTCTCCACTTGTTTGTCAACAGAACATTGAAGCTTCTATTCCTTCAGTAGAATCTGATCAGTCGGATACTGAAGCTACATCACAGATTGAGGTCCATCAGCAGGGTGTGTTCCGTAGGTCTTCTGCTGAGGATTTAGTGGGTATGGCTGGTAGATCAGAGGATGACGGTTTTGTCCGAGTCACAAGAAAGAAACACCCACGTGCTACTGATACTCCACATCCGAGCAGACGGATCACCAGGAGTCAGTCACATGATACCTCTTCACATTCTCCATCCCTATGAGTGCCATCATTTGGAATGTGAGAGGTGTAGCTAGTGTAGCTACTCGTCGGCGCCTGAAGAAACTTATACAGCTTCATCAGGTTTATCTGTTAGTTTTACTGGAGCCCTTTGTTCTACAACACAGCTTTGCATATATTCGACGTTACCTGCGCTTCGATACGGGAGCTCAGAATGAATCGAATAAGATTTGGTTTTTCTGGAACTCGGGGACTAATGTTACTATTATTGTTGATCATCCCCAGTTCCTTCATGTTAAAGTTGAGGACCCCAGACTAGCTCTTCCCATCTATTTTACTCCAGTTTACGCTTCTTGTGATGCTTCTCTCAGGAGGGATTTGTGGGCGGGTCTTCACCACATCTCCCTCGATATGGAGGACCCTTGGATAGTTGGGGGAGACTTTAACGTTATTACTCATGATGGAGAGCACACGGGTCATAATACCCGTGATCGAGGCACTACGGCTTTTTCTGATATGATGTTGGACAGTGGTCTAGAGGATGCAGGTTTCCTTGGGAATCGATACACTTGGACCAATGGGCGGGTCAGGAAGAGATTGGATAGAGTACTCATTAATTCTTCAGCTGCAGCATTTTGTCGACAGCTTACAGTGAAGCACTTGAATAGGACTTCATCTGATCACTCACCTTTATTACTTCAGTGGACTTCTGATGATGACTTAGGGCCTAGGCGTTTCAGATTCCTCAACGTTTGGACCAAGCATCATGATTTTTTAGCATTTGTCTCTCAGAAGTGGTCACTCCCCACTCATCTTACGGGGATGGCTGCTCTTTGGGAGAAATTCTTCAGGATGAAACAGGGATTACGCTGGTGGAATCGACATGTGTTTGGAGACATTTTCGAGCGAGTGAGGGATGCTGAGGACAGGGTTGATGAGGCAGAAATTGTATTTGACAGTGACCCTACACCGGAACATCGTGACATACTGCATCAGGTTCAAGCAGCTTTGAACCAGACTTTATCTATTGAGGAGGGCTTCTGGAAGCAAAGGGCTGGCTCACGTTGGGTATGTGAAGGAGATCACAATACTCGATACTTCCATGCGATGGTTCAAGGACGCCGTATCAGATCGCATATTAGGTCCATCAGGACACAGGCAGGGGAAGTCTTAGCTACTCCTGCTGATATTCAGACATCGGCTATTGCTTTCTACCAGGATCTCTTATCTACTCCTCCACAACCTTT